CTAAGAAAGGTAGTTTCAATTTTAATCCCTTAATAAACAACAGTTGCAAAGGATAAACTTCTTAATTTTTTCTTAGATTGTACCTAATTTTGCCTTTAATCTCTTAATAAAAGGCAGTTAAAAGGATTACGTTAATAACACATATTATAAATTGGACATTTTTACAAACCCGACCCGACTGGAGCGTAGTATTTATTCCAGTCGGTATAATTCGAACGCTGAACCTGCACACAACTCACACGTGTACTGTTATGACGCTCCCCGGTCCATCGCGAGGAAAAGTTTCGACAATCTCGAGACTAGGGATGTTGCGATACCAGTAAAGTATCGATACTGGTATCGAAAGGAGTATCGGAACCAAAGTATCGATACCGGTATCGAAAGGGTATCGGAACAAAAGTATCGATACCTATATCGGAAAGAGTACAGACCAACCAAAAAAAAAAAAAAAGGTCATAGGGTACACGCCGACATATCATACCATAAAGTGATCCTACAATAATATACATTTTGTAGTAAAATTATTGAAACGAAAGTAGTAGTATCGAAACAAAAGTAGTACTCATATGAGTAAAGTATCGAAAGCAAAGTATCGTATACTAAATTACCCGGTATCGAAAGAAAAGTATCGATACCAGTATCATATCAGTATAGTATCGCAACATCCCTACTCGAGACAGTCGTCTTGCCGGCCCGTGTTTGTGAACGACACACCCTTTGTATAATTATTCGCTGCTCCTACTGAAGTATCTGTGTATGTTTTTTAATTTTTTACTGTAACAAAAGTTTTTTGATTTATTGACTTTGTGGTTCGAAGACGACATCAAACGAGTGTGATGGCAGCAAGTACAAGTAGAAAACGCAAGGTGACAGATGAGCACCGGTCATTCCAAGAAAAATTGACAAATTTATATTTGTTTGTTTGTGTTGGAGAAAAACCGGTTTGCCTTGTATGCAATGAGTCGGTCTCTGTGATGAAGGAATATAATATTAAACGGCATTATGATTCCAAACATTCAAGTAAATTTGCATATTTTCAAGGACAGTTACGTCTTGATAAGGTCGAGGTTCTGAAAAAACAACTTCAACGACAGCAGCATTCGTTTCACAAACAGAACAAAGATAGTGAAGCAAGTGTAAAAGTAAGCTACATAATTTCAGAGAAAATTGCACATAAATCAAAACCATTTACTGATGGTGAATTCATAAAAGAATGTATGGAGGCAGCAGCAGACGTGTTATGTCCCTCGCAAAAGCAACTTTTTCCAAAGTAAGTCTGTCTGGTGTTACAGTTGCAAGGAGGGTAGAAGAATTGGCAGGCGATATTGAAAAAACATTAATTGAAAGATCGTCGCATTTTGTTTACTACTCCGTTGCGCTTGATGAAAGTACAGACCTAACAGATACCGCTCAGTTAGCAGTGCTTATACGCGGCATTGACAGAAATTTTTCTGTTACTGAAGAAATGGCTGCCTTAGTTCCAATGAAAGGCAGCACAAGAGGATGTGATTTATATGAAGCGTTTAATACCGTCTTAAATAGATATAATCTGAAGTTAACAAATTTGGCTGGGATATCCACAGACGGCGCACCGGCTATGGTTGGCAAAAATGAAGGACTTATTGCATTAATAAGAAAAAACAATCCTGGCATCTCCTTCCTCCAATACCATTGCATCATTCATCAACAAAATTTATTTGCAAAGACTGTCAATATTCAAGATGTTATAGTATTTTTAATACAAATCCCGATGCACGTCAGAGATCATTTATGACGTCACGGCCTTGCAGTGTTGCCTAATCGTCAGAATAGTTGAGGAATTTAGAATTTTTTAAAATTGTAAGGTTATGTATTTGTTATGTTACTATATACATTGCGTTCGGTCTGCCAAGTTCCTTTAACTCCTTTAACACTTTTAACTCCAAACGACCCTTTTAGCGTTCGGTTTAGTCCGATTAGTGAGAGTTTAACACGCTTAAATGTCATTTAAAAGTACCCTAAAATCTGTCCTGCTCCAGCCCCTGTCTATCCGAACTCGCCTATAGTAGGAACAATTAGTTTTAAATGTATATAACTAACGGAAAATATTGAATTCCTTTATGAATAATAAACATCTAAACAAAAAAGCTTTAAACATTTTATGCAAGTCATGGAAAATAAAACTGTAAGGTAGTATATTGCAGATGGATCAAAATTGGTTTAGAATTAGCACAGAAAATATCTAAAACTAATTTAATTTCACCAAGAAAGTTATTTAACAGAACTACATTTAAGTTATAAACCACAACACCCCATAAAATTAAAGAGGTCATTGAAAAAATTAAAACTACAAAGGCATGTGGAGGATTCATAATATCAGTAGATACCTATACTTAAAAAATTAAAGTTTGAAAATGCTAAAATATTTGAATACAAGAAGGAAATTGTTAAAATATTTGAGTAGGTGCTTTAGTAAATCTCACTTTCAGTAACGGTTCTGTAGCTCAAGTATTCAAGATAGCCAGAAATGCTTCAAAAATAAACAGATATCGCTACTTCTTTTCAACTCTAAAGTTATCGAAACATGTATGAACAATAGATTCATCACTCAAACATCAAGATTCTCCATTTTATCAGCTTCAAAAGACATTTGAAAAATGTTATTCTCAGTCAAATATTTTTTTTATATCTTGGAATAAATTAAATAAAAATACAGATATATAAGAAATATATCAAACTGTTTATTGTTTTAAAAATTAGACAATGTTTTTTTTTTTAATTACACTATTTTCTCATAAAAAATAATTATTTATCTACTAATCTTCATTATTTCTATAAAATTCTTTTATTTCTCCTAATCCAGATCGCAAGTATTTGAATCGCAGTCATCGATATCGTTATTAGGGTTAATTATAATAAAAATAATTTCCAATCTATTAAAAACTCCCTCTCTGCCAATATGTTTATTATAATATTGCTTAGAAAGGTCACAAATAAGTTCAATGGAGTTAAAAATACAATGGCAGGGAAGATTACGTAATACTTTGTCTATATTGTTCTGCTTAGGTAATTATCTACCATATATTTCTTTGGCGGTTCGCACCTGAAAAAAGAATGTTTTATTTATTTCTATTTAGTTGCCATTTCGTATAACGTGTGTCAATATCGCTATATTCTAAATTGTAATATCGAAACAACACATTATATCAATGATTTAATGTTAGGTACACCGTTATATCAAATCTTGTAACTTCATTTTTAATTTTTTGATATTGTTTTAAAGTTTATTTCTGAAAAAAAAAGGCATTTTTGGGTTTCACTGTACATCTCGAAAATATGTAAAACATGTAGATGTTTATTGACCACTGTAATCAAATTTTTCCAATTAAATTGTCTTTATATGATTGCTAGAATAGCGTATCTACCATTAAATCTTCAATATGATGTGTCATTTCAATATTAATATTTTTTTTACTTGATTTACACAATTACTGATACCTTAATTTACTTTAAATTTGGTTTTATCTCTTGCCATCGATTTTTGTAGGTCTAACACCCTTTGTCATTATTTTCCCAGGAGCTGTTTAATGTTTCATTTTGAATGATACATTTTTCATCAATGACAACGAAATGCTTCTGTTGTAATTCTATAATTTCTTAAAAACTGACCTATTTACAGTTCACGTCTTGGTTATCTTTTTTCCTTCATTCTTTTAATACAGTTGACAATGATGCAATATAGCCATTAAACATTTGTCGCTCAATCAACTTTTCTCTTAAAGGTTCCAAAGTTATATGTTGACCTGCAAATAAGTATGTATTTATATTACTGTATACAAATTAAAACTTTTATAGGTAATATAAATAAATTATGATTGAATAAATAGATTTGTCTTTATACTTACTTGTTTCATACATATTATAAATACCACTTCGGATTCCACTTGTATCCAATGAGAGAAATTCAAAATAATATACAGCCTAATAGAATTAATGTATCAATTAACTCCATAAATACCCTAAAAAATGGAAATGTCGTAATTAAATGTGAAACCCAGCAAGGCATGCAGAAGTTAGTCGATGAAACCCAAATTAAACTTGGTACAAAGTATAGAATTGAAACATCAAAAATAAATAGGCCTAGAATAAAAATAATTAGTTACAGCCCACCTTTAGCAGATGATGAGTTGGAAGAAATTATAAAATCACAAAATGAAATTGTTAAACCTGATGATCACTTTAAAATAACTTATATACGAAAAACAGAAACAAAAAATAAAACACCTCGCCATACCATTTTCGCAGAATGTTCTGGGCGACTTTTTGAAAGTATTATGGATGCAGGAAAATTATTCATTGGTTGGGAACGATGCCCTGTGTACGAAGACATCTATGTGCGTCGTTGCAAAGAATGTTTTGCATATGATCATCGCGAAGGCAACTGTAGGAATAATGTGGTGTGTGTATATTGTGCAGGTAACCATAAGGTAACTGATTGTAAAAAAGATGTTAAAAAATGTTGTAACTGTGTAAAGTCTAATCAAAAATATAATTTAAAAAATGATGTAAATCATGTAGCATATGATAAAGATTGTCCTAGTTTTAAATTTTATATACAACGCGCTAAAATCAATACTGACTATTCATAAATTTGTTTAGATCAATGGCTAATAAAAATAATTTGCATAATAGAGGTAATCTTAAAATTGCTCATGCAAATGTCAGATCACTTATTTCCAGCTTAAGTGACTTTACTGACCTAGTTAGTAAAAACAATTTTGATATTATAGGCATATCTGAATCTTGGCTCTCAAGTAAAATTCCCTCAAGTCATGTCTCACTCCCTGGTTATAGTTTTTATAGACAAGACCGACCTAATCGTATAGGTGGAGGTGTGGGCGTCTATGTCCATTCTAACTTCAAATGTGAACCCTTAGACTTCAGTAATTACATTAATATCTCTGTAGAATATTTATTCTTAAAATTTAAGATTGGTGTATGTAGTTATTGTATTGGTGTATTATACAGACCACCAAATGCAAAATTGTCAGAATGTTTACAATGTCTGGATATTATTATTCCTCAAATTATTACCAGTTATGACACCATTATAATATTGGGTGACGTGAATGTAGACATGTTCGTTTCAAAAAATAAAATGATTGAATCTTTCAACTCATATGGTTTGGTCCAACTTATTACAGAAGCAACACATATCACTGAAACAAGTGCGACTTTAATAGATCCTATTTTTATTAATACGCCTACTAATGTAACCAAACAAGGTACCATTAATATTGATCTATTCAGTAATCATCAGATGACATTTTGTGAACTCACTACTTGTAAAAAAATATCTCATGATAAGTTTGTCACGTATAGAGATTTTAGTAATTTTAATACCAATTTATTCAATCATGATTTATTAAATATCCCATGGCACAGTATCTTACAATTAAACTCAATAGACCAAAAAATTGAATTTTTGTCTGATAATATTACTTGCTTATTCGATTTACACAGTCCTTTTCGCACGGCCCGTGTCAAAAGGTCACGTGCTCCCTGGTTAACAGCCAATCTGAAATTAATATTTAAAGAACGAGATAAAGCATTGCGAAAGTATAAACAAAATCGAACACTTTATAGTTGGAATGAGTACAAACATTTAAGAAATTACGCATTATCTTGTTTAAGAAACGAAAAACGTGCTTATATGGAACAGTTACATCAAAGCAAAAATATTAAATCTTTTTACAAAACTCTCAATGATATGAAAATTCATTCTTCAGGCACATCAGATTTACCTTCTCAATTTCAAGATCCATACAAAATCAATGATTACTTTACTTCTATATTCCAAAATAGTGATGAGCAATGTGCTGAAAATATTTTATTTTATAGAACACAAAAATTTCTGCCAAACAAAACCTTTCAATTAAAACTAGTTAACCTAGATGACCTAAGCAAAGCTATTCTTAGAATAAAATCCAATTCTTGCGGTACAGATGGTATTACACCACAAATGTTAAGACTTTGTTTTCCTATTATTGGCATTTATTTCTTACATATCATAAACCGTTGTCTAGAATTGGGATATTTTCCTGATTATTGGAAAACATCGTTAGTAATACCTCTACCTAAATGCCCAAATCCATCTTCCTATAATGAACTGAGACCTATCAGTTTAATTTCTTTATTATCCAAAATTCTAGAAAGAATTGTTTACATACAGATCAGCGATTACTTATCTGAAAATAATATTATACCTATACATCAGTCCGGATTTCAAAAAAACCGTAGCACTACTTCTGCTTTGGCCTGTTTGTCAGACAACATCCTATCTTCCATTGATAAACAGAATATGTGTTTTTTGGTCTTGTTAGACTTTTCAAAAGCATTTGATACCATTAACCATCGCCTGTTGGTATCAAAATGCATCTATTACGGTTTTGACGATATATCTTCGAATTTTATTAAATCATATCTAAGGAATCGCACTCAGAAAGTCATAATAAATAGTCAAATTTCAACACCTAATCAAATAGTCTCAGGTGTACCGCAAGGCTCGGTATTAGGACCTTTACTTTTTCTTTTATACATATCTGATCTGGCAGAAATAATTAGGCATTCACATGCTCAATTCTTTGCAGATGATACTCAAATATACCGAGAATTTAAAATATCAGAGTCCGAACTTGCAGCGAATCTAGTTACCGAAGATCTGGAATCCATTTCAAAATATTCACGTGCACACAATTTGCGCTTAAATCCTGAGAAGTCTAAGGTGTTAATATTTGGTAATAAACTAAATAGAGAAAATATCAAAGCTAACATGACCATTAAAATTAATGATGACATAATACCCTTTGTTTCGTCTGCAAAAAATTTAGGGATTTATTTCGATGAGGAATTCAGGTTTCATCCACATATACAACATGTACTACAACAGTGTTATTTACGGTTACGATTACTTTTCGCTAGTAAACATATCCTAACTAAAAATATGAAAATTAACCTAAGTGAAAGCTTAATAATATCTAAATTATTATATGGGCTTATTGTTTATTATCCTTGCCTTACAAGTGAAAACAAACGGCGTTTACAAATAATTCAGAATACATGTTGCCGCCTAATTTATAATTTGAGGAAATATAATCATATATCCGTCCCGTTTACTAGTTTAAAATGGCTTAATGTTCAACACTTATTTGACTACAGTATTTTAACATTTGTACAGAAAATAATTATATCCTCAAAACCAGTATATTTAATAGATAAACTAATACCCAGAGCAACTATGCATCAGCATGCTATTAGGGATCAATCACAACTTAATATGCCACAATTTCGCTTGACTACATACACCAGATCTTTTTCATATAATGCGATTAAACTATATAACGGCCTAGATCTTAACATAAAAAATATCAAATCAACAAGTATTTTTAAACAAAATGTCAAAAGTTTGCTCTTATCCCAGCAGTAAAATGTGAAGATCTAATTTGCCTTATAGGAATTATTATTTTGTATGTAATGTAAATAATATATAATGTAAATATAAAATTTAAATGTAAAGTGTAAAAGTTCGATATAATTAAGTTTATTGCTTAAGATTATGTATAAAGTTGTTTGGGTCAAATATTATTATTATTCTATATTTAACATTCCTTAATATTTTGTATAAAGTTGTTTGCGTCAAATATTATTATTATTATAATTATTCTTTAATTAACATATCAATACTTTAGATTTAGGTTTAGGGTTAGGTGTAAGAATAGCCAAGCTAAATCTCGCCCTATGTACTTTTGTGCAATAAAGACGTTTATTATTATTATTATTATTATTATTATTGTATTAGTAGGTAATCCTTTGTTTATATGAATGCTTTTTAATTAGCGATTTTAATCATTCATTATTCTTGACTGCTTGCCAAATACTACTGACAGTAGAAATATTTTTATTTAGAGATGCTGCAACACACTAAAAAAGTCAAGAAAATAATTTCATATTTCTATTAAATTTTATAACTTGTTACCTCTCTTACAGCAGTTAAAGGTAAACGTGGTCCATCATTATCACGCTCTCATTCAAAATAATGGAATAAAGAAGCTATCAACTCCTTACAAGGACTATTTAGTTTTTTAGGCATTTTGTATATAAAAATTAAACGACAAATAATCAGCTTATTCACTCTATGGTTGTTTTGAAAAATAGTTTTTTATAAGTATAACTGGCAAAGCTTAAAAATACAGGCAAAAGGATTTTAAATTACAGAAAACAAAATGCACAATTAATAATTAACTCAACATAAACATAACCTAACTAAATCAGTGAAATTTTTTAAAAGGGGGTTGCAATACCGCAACAAGGTGTACCAATTGCTGTAATGACATTTCTTCTCTATAAATACGAGCTTCATGGGCGTACAGAATGTCAAAATTATTTAATTTAAAGTATTATTTTTTGAGTACTAAACATTTAATAATGTTTTTATAAATTTTATATTATCAAGAATTAGACATGTATAAACTAAATAATTTAAATAATTCTTAAAATTATCAAAATAATCACCATAACAGTTTTCGACTTTTTAGTAATATGACTACGTTCATGAATGCTCGCGACTATACGTGACTTTTTCGGATTATTCTTAGATAATATAATAGCAGATAGGCCACCACTGCATAAAGTTATACAATATTAATGTCGCTATCATATAATCAGTACCTCTCTTTCTAATGAAGGCTTTCTCACTCGTTTTAGAATTAGCAGCAGTAGCGTACCGTAAAACAATTTCGCTGGGTCATTTTAAATGCGAAAATGTTGACCAAGTATAATATAAAATAAAATGTTTTAAAAGGTAGGTAGGTGCATTTTTAATGAAGTGAAAACAAAATATGACTTTTTTGTTATGAATATAATATTAATAACAATTACTTTTAACACCACAACACGAACAAATTTAAATTAAACACTGGAATAATTGTCTGAGACAAGCTTTGTAAAACTGACAAATACAAACAAAGAGATAGAAATATTAATCTATTTCTCTCTAATTAGAATTCTCGACCATATTATCATGGCGACACAAACATTGTTTACTGTCCTCTCTTTACTACTTACTTACTCTGAGGGATTATTAGCTTAGTTAGGGACATTTTAATTAGTTGGTAGTACTATGACGAATGACCGACGTCATTGCTGACGTGCATCGGGATTTGTATTAAAAATACTATATGAGTATTGTGGTGAAAACAGTTAATTTTATCAAATCTCGGGGCCTTAATCACAGACAATTCCAAGAGTTTTTAAAAGAAACGAATGCTGAATATGGTGACGTTATTTATTTTTGTGATGTTCGCTGGCTTAGTAGAGGCAAAATGTTAAAACGGGTATTTAATCTGAGGAAGGAAATTGCAGCTTTCATGGAAAGCAAAGATAAAGCTGTTCCTCATTTTACCAATGAAGCATGGCTGAGTGATTTGGGTTTTCTTACAGATATTACATCACATCTAAATGATTTGAATAAGAAACTTCAAGGGAAAGAAAATTTAATCCATGAGTTATTTGACTCCTTGAAAGCGTTTCAAGTAAAGCTGGACCTGTGGATTAATCAGTTCAAAAAAAATGTTACCACACATTTTCCTCATTTGTCATCTTGCCAGATAACAAATATGGACAAATATATTTCTGCGCTTGAAGATATGAAAACACAGTTCGACTCACGTTTCATCGATTTCCGGAAAAATGAGCAGTGCCTGAATTTGTTTGCTCGCCCATTTAGTGTTTCTGTCGAAGATGCTCCTGAAGAAATTCAAATGGAATTGATAGAGTTACAGTGCAACTCTATTTTGAAAGAAAAATTTGACTTAGGACTGCTCGAGTTTTATTCAAAATATGTCTCCATTACTGATTTTCCTAAACTCAGAAATCATGCACTGAAAATGACATCACTTTTTGGCACCACATATTTATGTGAGCAATTGTTTTCAAGAATGAAATGCGTGAAATCCAAGACAAGGGCCAGAATCACCGATGGTCATCTTGAGAACAGTTTAAGAATTGCAACGACAACCATTGGGGCAAATATTGACAAATTAGTTAAAAACAAAATATGCCAAACGTCTCACTGATTATTATTATTTTTTATATTTGTAATATTTTTTAATAAATAAATTTGAATAATAACAACGATAATTGTTTTTTTTTAATAAAAAAAATTGTCCCCAATTGCCGACTAAAATACAGCAAAACACTTATTTTTAAAAAATAACTGTTAGATGGAGTTATATATTAATTTCCGTGGGTAAATGGGCTTGACACCAAAAAAAAAGCGCCTTTCTTATGTATGTTTGACTTGGGTTGCGGCCCGCCGAACCAAAATCAAAATATTTTTCGCCCTAGATATCAAAAAGGTTGAAGACCTATGTCCTACAGTATTCTTAATTTTAAGAAACGTCTCAAAGAAAACCTTTTAGCTAATCAATCTGCATTATAAAACGAAAACATGAACTGTCAAGAAATAGGTTTACTCTCTTGAAAAATAATTTTTGTATATATAATTTAAGCTGTTTTCATCAATATTCATTTTGTGTATGAAATAGAATGTATTTATTTGCGTTGCAGGTTAAGTTGAAAAACAGCCTTGTGCTGAACT